TTTATTGATTTTTTACAGAGAGGAAGGGAGAGGGATAGAGAGTTAGAAACATCGATGAGAGAGAAACATCGATCAGCTGCCTCCTGCACACCCCCCACTGGGGATGTGCCGACAACCAAGGTACATGCCCTTGACTGGAATCGAACCTGGGACCTTTCAGTCCACAGGCCGACGTTCCATCCACTGAGCCAAACCAGTTATGGCTTAAATAATTTTTAAAAAGACCAGGGCCAGGGTTCCTGGGAATGTTCCAGGCTGTCAGTATCATGGGGGGTTAGCGTGCTTGCCGCTGTGTCTAGGTTGCACAAAGGAATAAGTGACAGAAGGCTCAGCGTACTCCTGGCGTTCAAAGGCCCTGGGGCAGCTCTGAAACGCAGATGCGCCATCCGGGCGGAGCAGCGCCATGGCCTGGGGGACAGCCCTGCCTCTGTGCGAAGGAGTTCCAGGGGGGCTGCCTCCCCCACCTGGTGGCTGGGCCCGCCTCTCCAGCCTCCTCACCGGGACACTGTGGCCACAGGCAGCTCCACCAGAAAGCGGGCACGTAGCTCCACGTCCCCAGAGCTGGCAAGAGAGTCGGGCTTCCTGAGCTGCCCTTGTAAACAGGGCCTTGGCGCTGGAGCCAAACTATTTCTCTCCGTTTCCCGAAGGTCCAAGTGCCTCCAGTTCTCATCCGAAGAGGAACACACCAGAGAGTCGCCACTCAAGGTGGCAAAGGTCACACAGGCCACGGGGAGAGGCAAGTCCCAGGCTGAGCCGCCGGGGCCACGAGAGGTGGCGGCCCTGGGGGAGGGGGGAGAGCCCACGCCCTGGTCTCCGGAGGAGCCTGCGTGGCTCTCAGACTCCACACGGGGACACGCAGCCCTCCTGCTCCTGGGCCCTGGCTCCCCGCCGCTCTCCCTGGCTCCCAGCTGGGCCACAGCCAGCCACGTGGGCCCGTGGCAGGGACACGCCTGTGTGTCTGGGCCCCACAGCTCCGTGTGGAAGCCCTGGGCTGTGACACGGGGCTGGGGACAGTAAACACATCATCTCCTGTCCTACAGTGACCCTGAGAAGCAAGGGGTATTTTTTTCTGGTTTAAAGAGACTGAAAACAAAGCTCAGAGACGCTACGTCGTTCGCTTGAGTCAACCCCGCCAAGTAGGCACCAAGAAGACATCAGAATGCAGTCAGTCTGCGTGTTCATCTTCCCAAGAGCTAAAGGCAGCACGCACTTCTGTTCCTGACCGGGGACAAGGCCTGGGGCCCTCTGTGGGTTCGCCAGAGAAGCTTCTGGAAAGTTTCTGAACTCCCCAAAGAGAAGAACATTTCCCCCCCCTCGTGCAAGCACGTCCCCTCAGGCCTGGGGCAGCCTAACGGGTGGCTTTGCTGCGCCTGAACCGGGCACGGAGTGGGCTCCTCAGGCAAACAGTGCCCACCCGCCAGGCAACGAAAACCAAAGACGGAGAGTCGGGACCAGTGGGCACGAAGGCTGCACCCCAGGCCCCAGCCGTCCGTCCGGAGGGGGCTGGAGGCCAGCCTTGGCAGGGAACCTTCTCTCTGCCCACGGCCATTTGGGTGTTTGCGACATCATTCCGGGGCCATACAAAAGGATCAACTTGAACATGAGCCTGCTGCATGTGGTGAAACATTTAACGAACTCACCCCGGATGCCCTGGCAGGGCCAGACCAAAGGGTTTCTCGGGCCTTCAATGGCCCCTGCTTTGGAGAGTGAAAACAGCCCTATCAGGGAGAGAAAGGATGAACTCTGACCCCCGCGGGAAAGTCAATAGACCTGAATGGGAGAAAAGGCTGCTTCCCTTTGAACTTGGTTTGCACAACTGTGTGTTGAGTTACACCGTTCACCCTTGGACAGTGTGGGGGGCGGTGAGGGGCACCGACGCCCCACGCAGTCGAAAATCCACATACAACTTTGGACTCCCCCAAACCTTAATTGCTGACGACCTAGTGTTGACCGGAAGCCTTGCTGATCACATAAACCAGTGGTTCTCAACCTTCCTCATGCCGCGACCCTTTCATACAGTTCCTCATGCTGTGGGGACCCCCAACCATAAAATTATTTTCGTTGCGACTTCATCACTGTCATGTTGCTACTGTTATGAATCGTCATGTAAATATCCGATAGGCAGGATGTATTTTCATTGTTCGCGACCCACAGGTTGAGAACCGTTATTAACGTTAAACAGTCGACTAACACATGTTCTGTGTTCTATGCATTACATACTGTATCGCCACACTAAGGTGAACTAAGGGGAAGAACATGTGATTAAGAATATAAAGAGTTTCACCGGCGAGTGTTTTCAAATTGTCGCGAATCTCCAAAACATCTTCCAAAATGAAAGGTTCGTCTGAGAATCTTTTCAAATTGTTGCACATCTCCAAAAAAAAATTAAAATTAAAATCTTCCGATAATATTTATTGAAAACAATCCACGTGTTAAGTGGACCCGCCCAGGTCAGGCCCGTGCGGTCCAAGGGTCACGGTACAACCCCGGGTGGGCTGGCACCCTTCTCTCCTGGTGAGAGGGAGCTGTTCCGAGCGCCCACCGCTCCTCCCTCCTCAGGGGTGGGTGTCCCTGGCAAAGCTATGGCTCCCTCTGGGGGGCGACTGGGGGGGAGGAGACTGCTGGGGTGCCTGCTGCCTGCTGCAGCCTCCCCACCTTACCCCACAGCCTCTGCTCCTAAAGTGCCGGCCTAGACCAAGAGCACCCACAGGCGACCCACCCACAGGTGGCCCCAGCAGGCCAGCGGGGCTGGGCAGGGACTCTTCGGCCTCAGCCTGGGCCCCTTGCTGTCTGAGGTTTGCCCCCCCGCCCCCCGGGGCCAGACTTTGACTCTATTGAGGCCGCCCTCAGGGGACCTGGCATATGCAGCAGGGCCCACCCAGGCCCCATCGAAACTGCCCACTGCCCACACACGTGACTCCTTTCCCACAGATCCCGCTGGACTTCTTAACCGCAGAGCCATCCCCCAGGAGGGCTGCAGGGCCCTGCCGAGTGGAGCCCAGCCTCGCCGTTTGACGGATGAGGCCCCGGAAGGGTGGCGTGAATGGCAGCGCTAGGGCATGAGCCGGGGCTGCCTTCTATGCCAGTTCTCTTTCCACATCATCGCGTGAGCGCTCAAAGGGAGGCATCACTAAGGGCGGAATCCAGGCCCTATCGGGGGTGGGTTTGGAGCGTGAGCTCCGAGGCTCCGCAGGTCGCCACGGGGCTGCTCTGTGCCACGCCAGCCCCGAGTGGGTAGGCTGGGGCTGTTTCTTCATCAGTGGCGAGCAGCCCGCATTCCGCCCTCCCATGTTTTGGAAGCTCAGCTACGTTCCATGTCTTTGAGGACCGAAGGCGTGGAGTCTGGGAGCTCCTGCCTTCACATGCCTGGGCCTGGCCCGGACGCTGGGCGGGGAAGAGTCAAGGTGTCCCGTGAACAACCACTCAGCCCAGGCATGTTGGGCTCGGATGTGGAGGGGAGGGGCCTGGGCATCGGTGGGTGCTGGTGCTGGGCATAGACACCGCACACAACCAGGACGCCACGCAAGGAGGTTGGGGAGGCGCTGCACTTCAGTGGCAGGAGGCTCTTTCTCTAAAAGTCTCTCTGCCGCCCAGGCTGGTGTGGCTCAGTGGATAGAGCATCGGCCTGCGGACTGAGGGTCCCGGGTTCGATTTTAGTCAAGGGCACATGCCCAGGTTGTGGGCTCGAACCCCAGTAGGGGGCCTGCAGGAGGCAGCCAACCAATGATTCTTTCTCATGGTTGTTTCTATCTCTCTCCCCCTCTCCCTTCCTCTCTGAAATTAGTAAAAAAAAAAAAAGGGGGGGTCAAAACTAGGATGACAGCCTTGCTAGCCCCCCACCTCCCACCCCCAAGGCTGCAGAAGGGGCCCAGCGTGAGAGGCAGGAGCCCAGTTGCACAGCCTCTGGGTCAGTGCGCGCTGCCAGGGCGGG